TAAGAAAAAGAGATGTGCTGGTTGTTTCCTTGGGTCAGTTACAGATCAATCACGAGTGGGGAATAAAAATCATTCTGAAATTATAAAGTGAGTTCACGGGGATGGGATTTGACTGATAAGAAGTGGATTTGTTCAACTTTTCAGGAACACAACTGTTACGTACAAAGAGGTGCTCCCGCACTCTTAGTCCATCTCATGTACTTCACTCCTGAAGCAAACAGAGAAACTCCAGTCATCTGAAAATCAAATCTTGGGCACAATAGGTACCAACCTGGGTTAGTAAGGAACTTGAACTTCCCTTTCTCTTCTCACAGGTCTGATCTCATTGGATCTTGCTAACTGCCTCCAATCACTTCACTTCTCTCCTCCTGTCCTTTCCTACACATACCCTTTATTTGTCATTCTACAAACACTGCTTTAAAACTCTCTTCAGAGGACAAGGCTTAGGTATAAACGTAACAAACAGGCACTATGTCTGTGAGTTAAAGCCTTGCACTTAATTCCGAGCCACACATACTGAGGGACAACTGCTGCTCCAGGAGAGTAAGGGAGGGGCTTCTGTGAGCTGTGAGGTGTAAGTCTGGCCAGCAACAGGAGATCCAGCGGTAGAAGGTACAGGCAAGCAGATTATAACCCGATGAGTTAAATCTCTTCAATTACAGAAATGTTTGCCTTGCTTAGTGCTGAACACTGTCACTGGCCATGCTCAACAGATCTGAAAAAATCCCTCTTAGGCATATGATAGAGAATATGCCAGCACTGGATAGGAAAGAGAGAAGTCTGATTCTAAGAAGCCTATGATTCTGCAATAAATAACATCACATAAATAGTTTTGCCATAGTCGAGATACACAGCCATTCACGTCCATGTGTTGAGGAGGGTTGACCGGAGATGAACATTAAAAAGAAGCAAGACAGGAGAGGTGCCCATCTCTTACCCCATAGCAGGGGATGAGTCTACCCTAGATTTGGATAAAAACTGACCTGTAAATAGATCTGAAGACAGAAAATGTTTTGGGAAAGATAAGAGGTTGAAAAGCCAGAACCCTGAAGATAAATCTAGTGAACAAAAGAAGCTGTGCTTATGTAACACCTCATGGATAGGACTAAGTTAACGGCAGTTTCTGGTTTTTATTTTTAAAAGTCCTCTTTAATATGTAGTATTCTGGCTTTTTTGTTCTGGGTAAGAAGGAAGATGAAAGAAAATTATCCCCTCCACTCCCACCCAGGTCTGCATGGGCAGCTAAAGGGCTGTGAAGAACTTCCATTCAGAACACTGCTGTAGATAACACCCTCCTTGACCAAAATGCTACAGAGCTGGCAGAGATTTCTAAACAGATGAATGAGAGGCTTCTGAGCACATTCCCTCAAGACTACTGATGCTGGAATTTAGCTTGGGTCTCTTGGAGAAAAGGTGGTCAGTTAAAAAGAAACACATAGATAAGACAACTGTAAGAGTCACTGGTCCTACAGCTGTAATAATGTACCAACACTTTCTGCAAAACTGTCATTACTGTACTAGTGATGCTCTCTTAGAGGTTTCGAATCTCTGTCATTTCAAAAGCTAATCATGACATCATGTTCACATCTGGGAACATCAGGCTATTCTTGTTCTCCTGGCTCCCGTGCCCCAACAGACCACAGCACATTCTTAGCACCAGGAGGGCTGTTCTTATGCTGTTGTTACTTTTGGATTTCCTTCTTCAGAGCCCTCTCGGGGACAACAAAAGCAGGTGGGAAAGGAGCCATGCGATTCACTACAGCAAGGAACAGCCAGGGTCTATTCAGTGTGTGCTTCCCACTTCTGGAGACAATGGCCATCAAATACAATTCCACACATCGCCCTTGTTTCCCACCGAGCCATATCACGAGGTCCAACCACCCAAAACCACTCTAGCACACAAACCACCCATCACATACACACCCAAGATTAAAGAAAAGGAGACCGGCCTAAGAAAACCAGCCACGCTGACACTTGCTTTACCTTCCCAATGAAGTGGCTGTGAGTGAAAAATACGAAGTCAGCCTGTGGAAATTTATATAGTCTCAAAGGATCTGCCTGCAAAATAGTTATTCATTAAGAAGTGGAAAACAGTCATTTTAAAGTAGATAAAACTAGCAGACACCACCATAAGCCAGGGACAGAGTGAAGATCACGAGCGAGGAAACAAATCGACACCGGGCTCCTCTCAATCGGACTGAGAGGGACACAGCGCTTCTCAGATGTTCTTGCTCACCCTGAACCTCACCAGACTAGATAGTCTACAAAATAGCTGCCCTGTAATCTTCAAAGAACTTCTAGCTCATGTAAGAAAAAAATGAAAACAAAGAAGTAGGGCAGAGTATACAGAGGGGACTTAAGCAAAGTGAAAACTAAATGTGATCCTGGTGCGGAAGAGAGACAATTGGCAAAATCTGAATAAAATCTGTTGATTAGAAAATAATAGTGAACTGATGTTGATATCCAGATTTTTACTAGAATGTTAACTGTGGTACTTCTTTCTGGTTATATAAAGAATGTCCTTGGATTTAGCAAATATACAGTGAAATATTTACAGTTAAAGGGGCATTGTGTCTATAATTTGCTTCCAAATTTTCAGAAAAAATCCCTTATATACATATATACCTACACACCCATATATATGTGCATGTGTGTGTATGTATAGACGAGAGAGAATATGATCAAGTACATATGGTAAAATGGAAATGTTTACATTTAGGGAATCTGGGCAGTATACACAGGAATTCCTCACAACATTTTTGTGACTTCTCCGTACGTAAAAGGTTTTTCAAAATTAAAAAGGAAAAATAACTAAGTGTGTCTGAGCTTCTTGAGGAAGGAGCTGGAGAATGAGAAGGAAGGTAAAGGACCCCATCTCCTCTGCTCCCCCATCCCCAACACTGAGAAGTATTGTAACGTCCTGGGCTTCCCTGAACGCCCAGGACCCTGCAGTGGGAGACCCTGCAGTGAGCTCCCTGAGGGTACCACTGTGTCTTCAAATGTCAGGGGCTAACACAGAGCTGGACATAGACAAGATATGGCCAGTGGACGAATGAATGGAGTTAAAGAAACTCTGAAAGAAATTGTGGGCAAACCCCAATCTGTGGTGCTCTATCTGCGAAGTCGGTAGCATTGTGCCTCTTGTATAAAGGGCCGGGTGTGAGTAAGAGGCAGAAAGCATCAGAGTGAAGAGTAAGATACGGCTCTTCCCTGAAGTGTTCTTCTTATTGAGGAGGAAGGGGAACTGAGCATGTCCCCTAGGGCTGGCCTGACATGACCCTGCTCCTTTGGACTGGGTGAGGAAGGGCATACATTCCAGGTACTGTGTGTCCCAGCATCCAAGGTCCCCGCTGGAACTGCATAAGCTATTTGATGCACTGAGATAAGAAGAGACGTAGACCAAGATCCCCCAAGATAACGTTAGGCTTGAATAGCTCCATGTTCGGTAAACCCTTCACAATGAACGCAGTATCTCGTTACACTCTGTTCTTGCTTCCCAACCCAAGTAGTGCTTAGTGTTTCAAATTCACATTGACTGTGCACATGAGGTCTGAAACTGGAATCATTTTAATTACTAAAGTTCTAGAAAGCTTCAACAAAGTTACTTAACAGATAAAAACCATGACTTTGCTTAGAAAACTCAGCGAATTCAAGAACATCTTAACAGATTGCTTTTCCAAAAACATTTCATTGCGAATAGAGATGAAGGGGAAAAAAATTACAATCCCCAGACCACCGGAGTATAAGTATTAGGAGAAGTTCCTATGACCCACAGAAAGTTGGGATCTATGACAAATGGGCTTCTTCTAACCATCACCACGATACAATTTCACAATCATGAACACTGTGTGATAATACTCCAGAAAAAAAATAAGGCGAACCATGGTACATGACAGAAAGCAGGACTCCAAACTACAAAACTGATTTGCATATTAATTCAAACAGGGACATTTTTGCTTTAATAAAGGAATATTATTTTCAAAGAATCTCTAGGCTGGACTGCGATGCTCAGTGGTAGGGACCTGTTCACCAATTTATTTGAAAACAAGTTCATATGGCAAACCCAAATCATAATGGGGAAAAAAAATCTCTTCCTAATCAGTATATAATAAAGCAAGCCCACAGAAGAACTTGGATAGGTTGGTACAGCTACTCTCTCTTCCTTTTTACTTGCCAAATCTGGGAGGCCAAACAGATGTGTGTCAGAGTCAGTCCCTTCCTCTAACTTAATAAGGACAGACATTTAACTCACCCTCAAAGTTTTAATTGCCAGTTACTAGTTTATTTCTTCCTAACACCCTTCAGCTTCTTATCGCTCAGTTCAAAGCTGTTCCACTTCTCTAAAATGGAGTGGGAAGACCTGGACATATATCTTCTTCTAGGTTCTCCCAGGGATATGCTGCCTGTAAAGCCCACAAGGACTTGGAGTAAAGATAACACGTAAGAAAGATATCTGCTGAGCCCCCAACAGCAGGAGCCAGCTCCTGTCCCTGCTGTGCTCTGCATCCTTCTCATCCCAGACACGGTCTAGTCCTTGGGCTGCCAGTGGCATGGCTCTACCAATGCAAGTTGAAATTGAGGATTCATGGTGACCTAAGGGCTGATCTCAGGATTTTGAAAGAGACTCCCTCCATGAAGTTCGAACGGAGCCTCAGATCTGTAAGTAAATAGGTAAGATAGTGTGTGGAATTCTTAATACTTCAGTACTTCTCAATCAATCTCTATCTCCCTCACACACATTCCTTCTCGTTTCTCCATGAGAACCCATACTTATGATACCCTTGGGCTGTTCCACAACTGGGATAATAATGGCACTTCAGGAAAAATCAAGCTATTGCCTATTTTTGTCTGAAGAGGAAGCAAAGGCCCTGGACCAAAGGATAGCATGACCGCTCTTGAAATCTGAGCCTTCATGCTGGTCATCAGTTCCTAGTGTGATATTACCAATGAAAAATGCAGAAGCTTTGCCTGTCGGTCCCCACCCAACTGGTTCTTCTTACCTTTGGTTCCATTGAAATGAAACTGTGGGTTCCTCTGCTTGAGAGAACTGACCTTTTAATAGTCCTGCTATGGTAGAAGTGGTAATAGTCCTTCAGGGCCCCGATCTGCAAAGACATGAGGGAAAGAACAAAGGAAAGAGAGTTAATGTAGGAGATCTTCTGTTTTCCTGTTTTCCATTAAAATAAGAACACAAAACAAAACAAAAAAAGGTCCATAAATTATGCAGGTGCCTGCTCTGCTTCAATGTTACTTGAACCCTGGTGATCACTTTTCAAAGAAGGACATGTGATATGAAATGGAGTGTCCTTGAGGCAGTGACTGCGGGACTGAAGATTATAATGGGCAGTTTAGCCTCTCCCTCTTAATGTTTAATTTATATGCAGCATTTTAAGTAATTCTATATCAATCTATATCCAAATGTGGGAAAGAGAAAAAGCCAAATTGCTATCTGGTTAGAAAAACACACTACGTTCTGTTTGCCCCGAGAAACGTACAATGAAGGACCTTGTTAGATTATTTATATCATTAATTTGAAACAAGTCCTAAGCAGTTGATCGTTCACGACGAAAACACTGCTTAGTTTGTTTCCTGACTTCAGTAGACAGCAGTTTTTCATTTACTGCAAAATTAGAAGTTGAATGGCAATTTCTAAAACAAAACAAAGATCATACATCCTACCAATCAACCAAGCTTCCTGTGTAAAAATAGTTCAGTCCGCTTTATCTTAACCATTTCTTTAACAAATTAGTCTTCTTATTTGTGTACCCTCTCCTTTAGTTAGAAACAGTTAGTTCTGTTTAGGATAGCTTTGAAAGGAAGTCCCTGTACACTTTAGGAAAACAAATGAACAAAATCCCAAACAGTCATGTTCTCTTGGCAGATCGTACAATGTGGATCACATCATGGAAACTGAACAAGTACAACAAACGAAGACAGGAGAGCTTGGTTCGAGGTCCAGCTGACACTCACCGGAGGTGGATTCTTGGCTAAATCACATATACTGAGTATGTCTCAGTTTCCATTTCTATAAAATTGGACTTTGGGCTAGTTAATTTCTAACATCACTGCAGTTCTCAAATTCCCTTCTTTGACGCTGACACTCTCCTTGCTTTGGGCAAATACATTGTCTCTTTCTCTAGAACACTATGGCTCTTCCCTAAAAGAATGACCAACATCAGGATGTTTTCCAATTGGGACAATTCAAAAGTTGGGCCTTCCTAACTGGAGAAAAAAAAAAAAGTCATTGGCCCAGCTTAATTTTTCCAGGTAAAAGGTTTATCTCTTATTTCCGTCTTTCCATCACATTCTCAGTCACTGCCCACCCCTTCCAAAAACAACAATCAACCTAATTTCTGTGCCATTTAAGTCATCTCCTCACCGGGACTTTATGCACTAATTGAAGATCCCTAGTCCTCAATAAATTGGAAGGTCTGAAGTCTCACATTTTTTATTCAGGTGGAAACTGCCCAGATGTACAGAGAAAAGATCTTGAACTCTGAAAACATATATGGAAAAAGGGCAAGGAAATCCCAGCTGAAACCTCCGGTCTCAGTGACCCTGGGCTCTCAAAACAGCAGCAACAGAGAGGAAGAGGTGCCAGTGCCAGCCCTTGACTCCAGGGTGCTTCAAGGAGGGATTTACAGGCCAATGTTGATTCCAAAGGACTACAGATAGAATCAAGGGGAGTGTAATCCTTTATAAGAAAAATCCTAAAATCCCAAGGAGCTTAGAATTTTCACCTCATGTAGCTTTTGTCAAGAGTGCTCCTTGGGAAAATACAGCAGTTCTTATGGAAAGGAACTTAGACTCGCTGAGGAAGAGCTTTACACAAAACCTGTCACCACTGTGACAATTGCCAGTGTGTCAATGTCCACTCAAATATCCCGGAACCTCTCTGATTATGGGAAACGAGTGAATTCAACTTAACTATTAAGCTTGAACTATGGATGAGACACACCCCAAAGATGTATTCCGATTCTTCATGGCTTTGTTGGTACAAACTGGGATCCTGGCCTAAATGTCCTTTGTAGGGCAGTAGAAAATGGAACCCTTGTCCTGACTTAACTTGTTCTGGGGTCTTGGATACATCACTTAACCTCTTTGGGCCATGGTCTCTTCAAATGTAGGAAAAAAAAGACACAGGAGGTGTAGTGGACAGAGTCAGAGAGGGGATAGTAATGATTATGACTAGCTTAGTTATAAAGACTGAATGTAGTAACAGGTGAACGGCCTGGTCAAGTCATTGCCTGGGACAGAGTAAACGTGAGGAGGTTATTAGTTTCCCTTATAAATGTCACCTTCTACCCTCTAATTAATCCCTCACCCCTAAGCCTTCAAAACTCCCCAGACCAAGTCAAGTTCCTTTATTATATCACCCCACAGATGACAGTAGTTACAGTTTGATTAGCACAATTACTTATTTAATGTCTGTGTCTCCACCTGCACGCTCCAGTGAGGCAGGGACATCTCTGTTTTGTTCACCAATTTGTTCCCAGCTCCTAGTACATGGCTCGACATGTAGTAGGTTCAGAAAAGATTGATGAATGAATGATATGAAAATCAGATTCCTTGAATTGCTAAAACTGCATTCATTAGAGCTATGTGGGATTCGAAATCTCTGGTATGAGTCTCACAGAATTAACGTTCATTTTGGCAAAAATGGTTGAATTCCACCTTAACTGAAGTACCAACTCTTCCAGGCTTATCTGAAAGTTATAGGCTGAGGCATCTCTACGCTTTTCTTTTCCTTTTTTGCAAGATCAATAGCTAAGGAGTAGTGTGCATTAGTTCAATTATTCTACCTCATCCAAACAAAATAATCTGTCACCTCTCAGGACTTTATATATATATTTAAAGGGATGTTTATGTCTCTTATCTATTGATATGCATTCCCCTTATTGGCAAGAACTGCCTCTTTTATATTCTTTCAACAACACTGAGCATGCTGAGAGCATTTAATAAACATTAAGAAGAAAAATGTCATAACATGTTGGGAGTTACTCAAAAGAAAGACAGTGTATGAAAATGAAGCAGTAGTGTTATCTATAAGCAGGAGTTCCATCTAGCTCCTCCGGGGTAATGTAAAACAAAAGATGANCAATTATTCTATCTCATCCAAACAAAATAATCTGTCACCTCTCAGGACTTTATATATATATTTAAAGGGATGTTTATGTCTCTTATCTATTGATATGCATTCCCCTTATTGGCAAGAACTGCCTCTTTTATATTCTTTCAACAACACTGAGCATGCTGAGAGCATTTAATAAACATTAAGAAGAAAAATGTCATAACATGTTGGGAGTTACTCAAAAGAAAGACAGTGTATGAAAATGAAGCAGTAGTGTTATCTATAAGCAGGAGTTCCATCTAGCTCCTCCGGGGTAATGTAAAACAAAAGATGACTGTGTTTATATGTTATGCAATAGCAACAAAGGCTAAAACAAGGGACAATATATAACTAACTTAGGGACGCTTTATAAATAAATCAGGAACCAGAGGAATATATGAAGTATAAAATCAATAGCGGATAAATCAAAGCTCAACCTTTTCCTTACCAGCACATAAAGGAAGGAGAATAAGTCCTTCCCTCTTGGCCCTCTTAAGCTCCTCTTCTGTACAATGACACACAAACACTCTTCCCTGCCTAGCAGCACAGCTCTATACTCAATACTAAGTTGATGAATTTCATCTTTCATTCCCAATTCTGTCAAGTTTTTGTGCTATTTCTTCTTTAGTGGTAGCTCCTCAGCGCTGCACCCAAACTGTTCCTATCACTACCCTTCCTCAAACCAAATCACGTTCTTAGGTAAGGCATTTGTATAAGCTATTTTATACTAAGGTGTAAATGACTGGTAAGACTCAATGTCTTAGTTCTTCCAGGGACAACTACATTTCATCAGAAAATTAAAACTTCAGCCAAATAAATGAGTACATAGTGTATGTAATTTCAAAAAATAATCACTGGAGGGTTGTTTTTTGTTTGTTTTTTTCCTGGAAGCAGGAGGGAACCTTCCCTATGCCCCTAAATTTTTATCTTAATAGCCAGTTACTTCTAAGCAGAGGGCTAGGAGCCAGAATACCCACATTTTGTACTGGCTTTGCACCTGATGAGGAGCTGTGTGTTCTTTCAGAATTCATTCACCACCTACAGTCTGTCTTGTGCTTGCAGCTAAAACCATCACCAGCTGAATGACCCCAGGCATATAGTTTGCAACTTATATATAGTTCTGTAGAGTGTCCAACCATGCCAGTTGGCCCAGGAATGAGGTGTTTCTAGAGACACAGGACTTTTCATTACTTTAACTGGGGATATCCCATGCAAACTGGGACATTTAGTCAACCTGGTTATAAAGCGCCCAGGTTACAGGCACTGTGGCCACCTCAATGAACCTGTCAGTTTTCTCAGGCTGCTTGTCTGCCTTGTTTTCCCTCTTACCCTCTTCAATTTAAAGATGTCTCTAAATTCTGTATTCCTTTTTGAAAAATTATTTACCTCCAACTTACAAACAATTTTTTTAATGGACAAAAATCTAAATGGACTTCTTACAAAAGAAGATATACTTCTTACAAAAGAAGATGGCCAATAAGCACATGCAAAGACACTAAAATGCAAATTAAAATCACAATGGCCCTATATACACATCAGAATGTCTAAAACTTAAAAGACTCACAGTACCAAGTTTTAAAGAGGTTGTGGAGCACCAAGTTCTCATACTTTGCTAGTGGAAATGTGAAATGGTTTAGTGTCTTCGGGAAATCACTTGGCAGTTTCTAATGAAACATACATCTTCCTCATGACCCAGATATTTCATTTCAAAGNGAATGTGAAATGGTTCAGTGTCTTCGGGAAATCACTTGGCAATTTCTAATGAAACATACATCTTCCTCATGACCCAGATATTTCATTTCAAAGTATTTACCTCAAAGAAATGAAAACCTTTTCCAAACCAAAACTCACATGCAAATATTTATAGCAGCTTCCTTAGTAACAGCCCCAAACTAGAAACAAAGCAAATGACCATCAACAGGTGAATACATAAATCAATAATGGTAAACCCATACAATTGCCCAGCAATAAAACAAACAAACACTGATATATATA